TTTTTGGTTTATTAGTTTGTTATTTTTATCAATAAGTCGTTGGGAATCGAAACGTATAATTAAAAAAAAAAAAAAAAAACGAATTGTGATTTATTTTATCACTACCATAATCGAGAAAAAATGCTATTTACAATCATACAATAGACGTCTAATAAATATCGCGTTCAAATTAGTCATTTGGTTTAGTTTATGAACTTTATCACAATCCATGCGTTTTATCAACACTATCAAATATAAATATCACCAAATCCTTCGATTCGTTGAAAACAACGTTCTCAATAAACGCATAATGACAACAAATCGGGCAATATTATTGTTGCTATTATATTTCGATTTTCAATAATCAAATTTACTTTTTTTTTTTTTTTTTTGTTAATTTCTTTCTCTCCGAAGGAAAACGCGGAAATGAAAATCAAATACTTAATTATCTTGCATAAATTAAATTGTTTAGAAAAAAACTAATAATAATAAGGAAAAATCTATTTTATAATTTAAAAGCGCAATAACACCTAGCTATTACTGAAATTGTGAAATTTATATCTAATTAATTTTTCGTGTTTATCAATAATTTAAATTGACAAATCGTAAGGTGGCGCCTTATTATAGGCACTTTATTATATACATAGGAGGCTATAAAAAAAAAAAAAAGTCGAAAATATAACACGCTACCGTATTTTAGCCGAGCTCTACTATAGTTATCGACTTATCGTCGGTTTGAACGATTGCTGTTGCATTTTGGTTTTTTAATTTAATGTCATATTTTCTACCCGGAATAATCGCCAATAATAATAAAGATAAAAAAAAAAGACGGACTTACTTCGCACGAGAGTGGACCACTGTTGTATGTGAGAAGTTGAGAATGTAGAAAGGAAATTTAATTCTATGTATTATGTACGCAATGATTAATCGTCGCTAATAAAAAACGATTCTGAGTTGAGTTCGGTTAATAGTGTGAATTCGTCAACAATATATTATATGTGTCGCATTGTGGTAAAATAATTGCATAGGTATGTATTATGTATTTTGTTTAATATTGCATCTATTTTTCCGTTTTTCCTACGTTTTTTTCCCATTTATTAAAAAAACTCCAGGGAAATCAAAAAAAAAAAAAAAACGATCTCCTTAAAGTATTACCCCAGTCAGATATTATTTCAGAAAAAGTGCTATCATGTGTAAATCGGAGAAAAAAAAAATAAAAAATAACCATCATTATGAAACCAATAAATTCCTCGCTCCACCCAGCATCCAAACCTACGTTGGTATTGTTATTGGCTGATACATTGAAAAATGAAATAATATAGAAACGAGAACGTTAACCAACTGACAGCTATCGAGACATTATCATTTATCACACGTTATTTGCTGAAGGCTCTCTCAATATCGGCAGCGGTATTTTCGGATGAAATAATTTTCATCTTAAATACTGTCCGGCCAAAATGAAATTCGGCTTTTTTACGCGCTCTCTATTCGTACACATTATACTTACCTATTATTGATTATATTATTATTATCAGCGTTTAGAACGTTCACTAAAATAGTGAACGCGTTCACGTTCAAGTTCGTTTAAAAATGAGAGCGTGTTCATTCACGTCCAGTGTTGCTAGACAATTTTTAGACATCAAATATTATTAATTATTATTCTAAGACCGTGTTCTGGAGTGTTAACTGATAAGAATGAGTGATAGGTAATTTATGAGAAAAAAATTCGCGACCGTCATGGCAACCGCCGTGTATCTCGTGTTTTTTTTTTAATTGTTGAGGTTTAATAATTAACAATATAATGAAGTACCTCCTAAAAAATGAAAAAAAAAATGGTCAAAATGAGGTGATACTCTTAATAAAAAATAATGAAAACCGAGTAAAAAAAAAGTTGTTCCATTAGGAGAGCAGTATAACTATTTATAAACATTTTTACGACGCGTTTTCGTACTCAGTTTCCGCGAACTTATTACTTATTAGTTATTTGGAAACTTGGAAGAGAGTACGGCCGTATGGGTATCGTTGATAATAATATTTATTACTATCATTTTTTTTTTTTTTTTTTTTTATCAAATGAACGAAAAAAGTCGTCCGCGTTCGTGTGACGGCCGAACGCGTTCACGTGAAATAGAACGCGTTCTTTCCAAACACTGATTATTATTATTATATATTTGTGGCCGGGTGCCAGGAAAGCCGATGAAGGCGTTTTTTTTTTTTTTCATTTTACAACAATAATTATGGATTTTACGTTAGATTTTCGGAAATTCGACGTTTAAAATTGTACGTTTCGATGTTTGTACCGTCTTGCACCGAACCACAGACGCAAATAGAATTTTTACACGCTTGTACATAAACTGTGCACATAAGCTTACGTTGAAATCGCATTACAATATATTTACGCGAAAAATTTAGACAAAAAAAAAAAAAAAAATTAAATGGGAAAGTCGATTTCGCGCGGACTTGACGACGAGTCATTCGAATATATTATGTTTCTTGAATTCGTATCACTCCACCGGACCGGCTCGGCTTCGTTTCAACGAGTACGCGTCCGCGTTCCCGTGTCGCGCGTTTCCGTTTGACGGCGACGGAAAAACCAGACGCTTCCGATCCCCTCAAACCCGTCAACCGTGAACGGCGCAAACCAAACGCGTGCCCGGTACGCGTTTTAATTATCTCCCGCGTTTCCGCGTTTGTGGCGCGTCCGCCAGCGGACAGCCGCGTCTAAGCTCGGAAGTGGCGTTCGGCTTGTTTACGCATACGCGCCGCGCCCCGTCCCCCGTCCCCGCGCCGCCGCGGCGTTCTACGGTGACGCGCGCGTACGTCCGCTCGCGAAACGGCGGGGCCCGTGCGAAACGGAATCCGCCGCGTTCCGCAATGCCGTGTCGCCCGGCAGCGGCGCGGTTGTTCGTGGGGCACGCGGCCGAACAACGGAACGGGACGTCGCGCATTCGCGATTGGACAGCGAAACCGACACTCGGCAGCCACTGGCGGGCGTTTCGCGGGCGACGCCGCGAACGGTGTAGCGGCGCACCACGGCGATAATTATCGCAGCCACCGGTACCTATCGGTAATTGTCGAGGTCGACCGGCGCACGTACGGCGAGCGCGCGGAATCCGGATCGGCGCGGACCGAAAGAAGATTACCTGGCCAGGGATGGTTGTTCGGGTTTATCGTCGTTTTGTGCATTTTTACGTTTAGCGGCCGCGCCGTCGGCGTTCTCGTTTCCCCCCCCCCCTTAAAAACTACGGGGTTTTATTTACTATGTTGATACGGAAAACGAAGCCGATACTGCACGAGAACGGATGCGCCCGCGGTTCGGAAGGCAGGATACAAAAAGTTACACAATTTATACCTGTGAGCAAACCATAGACTATCGCTAATGAAAAAAAAAAAAAAAAAAAAAAAAAAAACGCCAATCGTATTAAAAATTTAATGAACAATGTGTCTTGTCGTTTTTTGTTTAAATCAATATTTCTGGTATAAAACATAGTTCGTTCGAATCAAAATGTGATTTGAACGACACGAAAAAAAAAAAAAATTATTAGTTACTCGCATGATATACGGTCATTGCCTGATAAAAAATGCTTCGCACGAAAATAGGAGAAATTGAATGTACGCAACGATTAACCATTGCTAACGATAAAACGATTCTGAACGGAGTTTTCGGTTATATGTATTTTGAAAGGCCGTAATTATTTATTCGATTCGAAAATGATGCGATTCGTAAATGTTCCCGTTTTCCCGTTGGTATCGAGAAAATTCCTGGGAAAATCGAAAAATGATATGCTAAAAGTACCGCTCCAGTCAGAGATCCTTTTAGAAAAAGCGCTGTGCCCGAAAATCGGAGCGAAATTACAAGTAGAAAAATTGTATACAGGACAAAAAAAAGTAAACATCATTGTAAATAACCGAAACGTTTCTCGAATCTAATATACAGATTTGATTTTGTACGAAAACGTACGCATTACCTACGTTTTCCGCCGCGTTTGTTTTGACGAAAACTCCCGGGAAAATCGAAAAACGTACGACCGGTCGGGGAAAACGCCGCGCGTCGAAATCCGCAGCGAAAATTCCGAGGAGGGGGGGGCACAAAAGTCGTTGACGCCGGGAGGGGGGGGGAACCGACAGCAAACACCGTCGTAAAACCGATGCGACGCGTACGGTCCTGCGTAGGGAATTTAAAATAAAAAAAAAAAATAAAATAAATCGCCCGTACAGCGGCGTCGCAGTCGCCGTCGAATTAATAACAATAATGATAATAATATTATAACGACAGTAATAACGTTGTTATTAAGTCCGATAGCGAATGTTGCGGCGCGGTACCGTCGGAACCTAGGCGGCGGTAGGTACGCCCTCGCGGCGACGAACCGTACACGCGCTGCCGTCACGGCGGCGTCCTCCGATGACGAAGTCTCCGCGCGAGCCGCCGCCGCCGCGAGAGCACACGACCGTCAGCGCGCGTCCGACCGGCTCCGGGTGGTTGTAGGCAGTCATCTGACGACCGGCGTTCGGTGTGTTCCAGTGTCGCGTGTCGGTGCGCCGTTCCGCGTGTTCCCGATCGTCTCCGAGCCGCAATCGCGTCGGCCGTAAACATTTGTTTTGGCGCCGCGAGCGTATCGTTTCGGTCGTTCTTTTCCGGCCACCTCCGTCCGAAAATTATCCGGCGATACGCGCTAAAAGCCGGACACGCGCCAAATACGTTCTCGATTGACCGCGTCCCCGCGTTCGTCCGTCGCTCGCCGTCGACGCCGCGCCGCAAGAATACGTTACAATAAACCCGCGTCGCCGTACCGACGCGCGAATATTCCTTTCGGTTTTCCGTTTTCGCTCCGGTCCGGCTACGGGGCCGTACGATGACTTGATCGCGCCGGCCTTCCGTCGCTGACGCTCGCCGCGGGAAAAACTCCGCGTTTTCCGGTAAAGCCTCCGGGATTTTGATTTTCCCGGGGTTTTTTTTTTTCTCAACGTGCCGTCCGCAATGACCGTCATCGTCGCGGGCCCGGCGGCGGCCGTCCTGATCGGATGTCTGCTGGTCACCGCGGTCGGCGCTTCCGTGGACACCGACGGCGGGACGCCGAACAAGGCGTCCATCACGGCCGTGGATGACGAAACAGGTAACGCTCGACAATAACATTAACACGCTTTTAGAACATTGTCGTTTCGTACGCATGCGAGCGTATACGCGGTTTCGGTTAGGTTATCTCGATCCGTTCGGTCGGCCAGACGTCGGGGAGGAAGAAAAAAACGAAAAAAAAAAAAAAAAAACGATTAAACAAATACGGTTTCCCGCCGATTCGCCCGTCTCGGTTTCGAACGGCAATTACCGCGCCGGTTTTCACTAGTTTCCGCGGCCCGCTCTGAGCCCGCCGGATAAAAAGTCTACGGAAAACGTGTCGGCCGCTTGTCGAGGCCCCGCGGCGTCGTCGACGGAATAAAAACAAACGTCGCGTAAAAAATCCGAGCGGTTATCACTGGGATTTCATTGCGACGATTCGTTTGCCCCGCGTTAACGGCTCGATATCGGAAACGCGTGTGTATTCAGCCGTGTTACGACCGAAAGCTTGAAATCTTGTCGGATCGGCATTTTTTCACGCTTCGGCATTTGGGCTGCCGATTCCCATGCATGTAGTCGGGTCGAGCGGAGGAGACGATTTTACGATTTATTATTCGCTACGTCCCGTTGAAAATTCCCCGGGCGCGCCGCTGAATTAACCGTGATGTACGACTGAACCGATCGCGGACCCGGTCGTCGTACGATTTATAATTTTTTTTTTTTAACTCGACAACGCGTAGTTTGATATACAAATAAAAAAAAAAAAAAACATGCGCGACGAAACTCGACGTCGCCCCGGTATTACGTCCGTATGTCGAAAAACCGCGAACAGTTTTAGCGACAATTGGATTAGGTTGATGACGATTTTGGAAAAAAAATTAAAAAAAAAAAAAAAAAAACAGTAATTATCATTGCTCGACGTCATTCGTCGTTTTCAAAATATAATTCGCCCGGTCGTTATCGCGGCGGCGGCGGCGGCGGTGGCCTGTAATTTGCGTAATATACGAAAAAAAAAAAAAAAAAAAAAAAACTCCGTACAAATTACGGCGGAAATGCCGCACGACGCATTCGCAAATTGACGAACAATTATTGTTAACTTTCGGCCCAGCGACGTTGAAAATATTCACTTCTCTCCGACCGACCGAACTCGCCGCCGAGCTATTATTCGGTTGCTGTTCGCCACCGCGGTTCGTCCGGTCGCCCGCCGTCTTTTCGGCGGTTTCGCGTGCCCGCGCCCGCCGTACCGTTCGCCGAACGTACGGCCCGACACGCGTCCGGAGGTTCGGCGTGTGATAATCGTTTTTTTTTCCCGTCGCTCCTCGTGCCCCCGAACTCGACGAAAATAAAAAAATCACGACGACACAAAATTTATTCGAAAAATACTAGCGACGGTCGTACCGAAATCCCTACAGTCGCGCTCGTCTAAACCGCGTCGTCCTTCATACGCTTGCGTACAAATGTCAAACTCGACGGAGAAATTTAAAAACGAAAACGTGACGCTAAAATATTTCCGCCCCGGTCCCACGTCCCCCTCGTCGCCCCGGGCACAACCCGATCGTTCTTCGCGTTTTCTGTAGCCGATCACGCGACGGGTGTCGTAGCGATCCGCCGCTTTCCCACGTCGTACCTACTTGCGGAAGACCCGCGCGTCTTTTTCGACGCCGTCAATTTGTGGGTACGGTGGCGCGGCAAAACCCTCCGCGGACAGACGCGACTTTGGCCTCGATTCCGAACCCCGCGTTCGACCTGTTAGGTTCCGAGTGGAGAGCGAAGGAGCTTATGGTTTTACAAAGGTGTTTGTTATTATTTATTGTTTTTTTTTTTTTTTTGATATGCGCGCAGCTCTTCAATCGGCAATTTGACTTCAACTTGATAGCAACGTTTCCAGAAGGAAATTTCACCGTAGAGGTACTTCAGAGTGATGGTTTTTCGATTTTCTCGAGATTTTTCCCGGCAAATGTAAAAACCCGGAATGAAACACGGGAAAACCGGGAAAAACGTAGCGAACTGGGAAAATCGGCACTGCATTAAACAAATATTATTCAGGAAGATATACAAAACCTGTTTAATTATTTTACTATAAAATGGACTATATATTGTCGACAAAGCATCACTGTACTCATCAGAACTCCGCTCAGAATCGTTTTTTTCGTTTATCGTATTGAATTATCTAGAACAGTGGCTGCACCCGTATTCATTATCCCAAGACGCCTTTTTTCTGCTCGGTTTTCTTTACGTTTCAATCTGTTTTCGTTGTATTGCAATTTTGTCAATTGGCTTTTCCCAAACACAGCATCGTAATAACATACGGTAATTTACGTTTAATCACTTTGTTTAAATTTTAAATCGGTTTTTTTTTTTCAAAACGGCATAGGTAAAATTTTGATTTTCAAGTTATCGTCGATCGCCAGCCGTCGGATATGTCGTGTGATTATCCGATAAATAATACGAATCTCACCATTACACAACGGTCGGTGAAATTTTCGGTAAACATTTTTTTTTTTAAATTTTTTTTTCTTCGTTTATAATTTGTCCACCGGCGCATCGAGATTTATCGCCGATCGCCCGTTTGTCCGATATAAGCAGCGGTCAACTCGTAAGCGATGCACTGGTAGCCGCACAGCCACCAAACGTGATTTATACCCGATAGCGGCCGTAATGCCCGCGGGTATTTCGGATACGAAAATGAAAAAAAAAAAATAATCGAAAACCGACGGGGAAAAAAAAAAAATTAAAAATAAAAATATCGCGGCGAAAAACAAAAATTTAAAGCGTCCGCATTCATAACGCCCCGTTCGCGAGCGGTCCGGTCGCGTCGCGGGACCTCGCGGACCGACAGTGTCCGCCGTTATCGTCGTCGCATTTTAATTACCGTCCGCGGGTTCTTCCGCGCGGCCACCGTCACCTTCCCGTTTCCGTCGTAACCCCGTCGCTATTAGCCCGAGGAATAACCGGCGCCCTCGTTGCGCACCGCGCTATTAATTGCAAACCGTCCGCGTCTCGGGCGTACCCGCGCACCGCGGCGCGCCAATTCCTCGTCCTCTCCGCGGCGCGCGTCGAAACCGTCCCCGTGACACCCGTTGCTCGTCGCACGCCGCGGCGTCCGGCGTTCTACCGCAGACTCCGGGGCCAGAGTGCGTTTCGAAAAACCCCGGCGCGCCCGGTTTTTTGTTTTTCTATTTCTCGGCGATCGCCCGCGTCGTGTCGCGCCCCGTACGTGAAATATTTTCGGAAACCGGCACTTTTTCCCCGGCACGCGTACGGGTGTATCGTAGTCGCCACTGTCCGCGGGCCCGTCGGCCCGGACTCCGCGAAATTTCGCGCGCGTTTTCCGCCTCACCGTTCCTCGTGAAACGTCCAATGTCAAAAAAAAAAAACACAAACATCGTTATTAAACGTCATCCGCGAAGTCGCGTTTCGTTTCGCGTTCGACGGTTTCGCAGCCGTCGCGAATCGATCGCATATTTCAACGGAAACAACGCGCGACCGCGAACAAATGCGTCGCCGGGGCGAAAACGATCCGGCCGAATCCCGGCGGAGATTTCCGGTAAATAACGGAAGGCCGTTACGGCGAACGCTTTCAACGGCGAAAACGATAAAAAGATATTTATCGGCGGGTAAATCACCTGATCGCGAACGTCTCGCGTACACCGGATCCCCGCAGATTATCTCGAAATCTCCCTAAAATCCCGTTCGCCGAAACGTCCGTACGCGTTAGCGGGTTTCCCGTTTCGCATATTTCCCATCGTACGTGAAGGGAAAACGTATATATTTTTTTTTTTTTTTTTCCGTAACTCTTAACATTTCGTGATTTAATTGAACCGCGCATTTGTCTTCTACGTTTTCACCGCGAAATTACACGGCGCGTTCCGAAACCGGTTAGCGCGCGTACACGAATCCGCGATCCGATGGTCACCGCGCGATACCGAAATTATTTCGTTTAAACTCCGTAGTTTTTCATTATGCTCGCGTCGCCCTTGCATTGTTATTCCGTCCGTCGCGTGTCGCATCGATAGTGCTCGAATCTGGTGGCGGGTAGGAGGGAGGGTACGCGACGGGACGGAGCTTTGAGTAAATAATGATATTTTCGAAAAATATTTATCGCCCGATCGGCAACTCGAATAAATTATATGCATTTTTATTTTTTTTTTTTTTGAGAATTTATCGTCCGATAATAAATTATCATTTTTTTTTTATTTATTTTGTGTTGGGCGTTCGCGGCCTCGTACGATGAAACAAGTGATAAGCGCGATTGAAACGATAACCGAACGGTATAGCCGAGCGCTTCGGATCGTCAAAGGTACGCTACGTATGAATTGTAACTATCCAATTGTAATCCTATTAATTTATAATGACTGCTGTGCCGGGATAAGAAAAAAAAAAAAAAAAAAAAAAAAAACGTTTGTATTCTACGGATCTTGTGTTAAACGTACTGGTGGGTTACGGATGTTGTTTTTTTTTTTTAAATTAGTGTAAACGGAATGTGTGGAGTGGGGGGGGGGCAAAGCCACTCGCGAGTCAGGTCGAAGTCAATCGTCGCAATGGACGCTATTTAATTTTTTCTTTTTCGTGCCGCACGGTTCTCTTGTTTTTCCGATTCGGGCGTTGCGCATATTACCCGCAAGACCCGTTCGGACGAATCCGATAGGCAGCGCTTGTTACCGACTCAAAGGCGCAATTAAGTCAATTGCACGTTTCAATTAAAATATTAATGGCCGGTCAGTGTACACCGTCAGGCGGCGGGCAATAATAATTAATATAACGAACACGATGCAGGCGCGTAAGTTCTACCGGAACGATTTACGACGACGACGACGACGACGGTCGTTTTGTCCGTTTTTTTCTTTTTTTCAAGTTACAATATTTTAATAACCACGCCGTTCGTTTTACCGCGATACGATTTACGGAAAAACTTTTTGTGTTCTTAGCATTCGCGGACACGGGTTCGCCGCGCCGTGTTCTTCGATCAATCGACGTTTAAACGCACGGACGAAAGTATAACCCGGCACCGCCTTAACAATATAAATTATCGTTTGTCAAAATGCGATTTGTAGGTTAATGTGCCTCGTCCCATCCTCCCGCCCGGCAACCGCGCCCCCTCCCCCCCCCATCATTCCCCCCACCCCCACACGCCAGACAAATATACACGTTGCTCAAAAACGCATTTACGGAATCGCGCGCGGCCCCGTATTATCATTTTTGTACACTACGCGGGATCCAGCGACAAGGTGTCGGTGTTAATGCCCAAAGTTTTACGCGCAACCGGGTCCGGTGGAAATTATTATATTTTATTTTCGCGCCCGAGAAACGGCATGAGAACTTCTGATTACTTTTTAAAACCGCCAGCTGGCAAAAAGGTTATTATTAAGGTTTCATTTTTCATACGCGTTGTTGTTGTTTCATTAAACATTTTTACAAATGGACGCGTTAAGAGTTTGATATTATATATACTTAATATAAAACTGCGCACACACCGCGAGACAAGTAAACGCGAAAACTTCATACGGGCACGGAAAACACCCGCACGATATAACGTAGTGTTATTGTATTGGTATAAAACAACGTGTTTTTGACGGGAAATCGAAAATCGTTTCGCATATTATTATTATCCACGGAAGCGCGGTGATCAGAGCGAAGAAAAAAAAAAAACATAAAAAAAAAAATCCCTAATATACCGGAATAGTAAATAACATCGCGCGTTTTGGTTTAACGAACGATTGCGGTTTACGGTGCATCGGTATCCGTAAACCATCGCGAGCACAGTGAAAAGTTACGGTGTAAATCAAATTTCAGATAACAAAAAAAAAAAAAAAAAAAAAATAACCGAAAAAATATCACCGAATGTGGAACGGCCACCGCGCGTCTTATAAACATCCGTATACAATATTATACGTTCATATATTATCTGATATTTTTTTTTTTATTTTTTTTTTTTTTTTTATCTCACGGGCGAGAAACTTTCCAGTGACGTGGTCCACCCTGAGGTTCAAAGTATGTGTGTATATGATATTTTATACCTCTGTTCGAAAAAGTTTTACTTTTTTTTTTCAAATACAGTTGTATTCTTCATTTGACTTAAAAACCGTTACGAAACGCAAAATGTTTATTGTTCAAACTTTAGTTTACGGAAAAAAAAAAAAAAAAAAAAAGCCGAAAGTAAAACCGCATACGACTTGTCGCGAAACGCAAAATGTTATATTTTTTTAGCCGTATATTTGACTTTAGAATATTTAGATCTTCTCGAATATTTTTTAGCGAACATGATATTATCGGTGATAATATCGTTTAAATTATCACCAAATAGCTAGTTGCTTCATTTTGTCTAGTGGTTTGTTGTTTCGTTTCGCAACTTTATTCCGCGATATCGTTGTAACGATAATATTAACCGCGAACCGCGTCGTATTATGAAAAACGTTTTTTTTTTTTTTTCTGTTTCATCTTCGAAGGGAATATCTTACCTATGCTGTCCGTGAAATGTAAAATATTAAAATTTTAACGGTAACGTCTTACTGTGTTAAAATCATCATGTACACTGCAATTTTAAACAAGGGCTACGACAGTAAATTCGTGTACGAATAAATAAATAAACGAATGAATATTGCAAATTCGGCGGCTCGGAGCAATACGGACACGTTTTGTGATTGTCGGGAAACGGACTTTGAAATTTTAATTTCCCCGTAAACGTTTGTGCAGTTTCCGATTTTTACAAAAACCTAAACGATTTTTATTTAGAAAACGCAAAATTGTACGCTTTTTCTATTTTTCTTTTTAACCGATTTTTTTTTTTTTTATTTTTCGAAAAACCGACGTTGGCCATTCTTGCACCAGACCGCAGAATCATATTCATTGGCCCGGCGGTGTAAACGGACTCCGTAAAGACAGAGAATATGTATGTGTTATTGCCCAAACGAGTTTGCTCGTTGACGAGACATTTAACTTTTTAAATTTAGGCGTGGACAGAGTAGTGGGACACTAATAAAACGTCTCGCGCCGCCAGACAAACGATATGCCGCTACTCTCTTCCCACGTGAACTTAAAAGTGGAATACCTCGTTAAAGGCTATTCTTTAAATATTTCTAAAAATCTGAGTACTCGAAAATACCGGCTTTAACTACGTTTAAAAATGGCGAAAATCAGAATTTGAATAAACGCAAAATTTAACCGAAAAAATGTAACGAACGTGCTTAGTAAATCGTCCTGTTAGTTTAACGGAAACCGCAATGGACACTATCGACAAATCGACTGGCCGCCCGTTATTTTACTGATTATTTACCGTCGGGTTGTAAAAAATACGCATGAAAAAAAATGCATTTTCGTAGCCCCTTTTTAAATTTACATGCTATTAATACTGTTATTGCCATTTTTAATCAAATTATAAAAACCGTGTTTTACAATAACAAAAGGCCCGGCCCGAAAACAATTGTTAAATAAGAAAATTATAACGAGAATTCGTGAGTTTACGAAACGGAATGGAAAGAGGGTAAGAAGATACGGAGTTCGTACACGACCTTAAACAAGTAAAACGGCCAAGATTTCGCGAGTTTAAAACGAAAATTACCAAACAGAAAAAGGGGTAGCGGTTAGAAAAAAAGAAAAAGAAATGAAATAAATGAGTGACCGTACGTGTTATCGTGCTGTCGTTGAATATTTATTATCGAAACGCGGACAATAGGAAACGGTTCGTTTGCAGGTGGGTACGTTATTTCGCCCGCGATAACAAATCGATCGCAACGCAGGGCGGTCGTGTCGAACCGGTGGCCAGCAGTGGTGGTGCGCGGCCGTTTGAAAATAATTACCGTATCCGGTACCTAATGGAAGAAAAAAAAAAAAATAAACAAATAAATAAAATACGTACCGAGGTATCGGGTGTACGGGGAGTATAGAGATTATAAAACGTTAATTTGCATTTGGTAATTGGGCGTTTTTCAATCCGACCCGTCGGAATCGATACGGCACTCGCGCGCGCGTTTAATTATGGTTTTTTTTTTTTTAATTTTTTTCCAACGTCGTTCGCGCACATATTATAGGCGCGTATTTTTTTGTTTTGTTTTTTGTTTTTTTTTCCGCGCGCGCTCCGCAAACAAAGACCGGCTACAATTCGGAATCGAAAAGTTAACGATCGTCTGTGGGCCCGTCGACGGTAACGTGCGCACGGGGCCACGCGGTTACGGCGAAACGGGTATGCAATTCGGTAACTCCGGTGTATGTGCAATGCGAGTGGACGACCGGCCGTTTTCGCGTCGCGTTCGCGGTGCTCGCCGTCACGGAAATACGACGCCGTGTCCGCCGCCGACGACGGCGGAATGCCGGTGACGGTTCCCGGCCCGGTCGCCCGCGATCCGGGCACCGTGACCGGCGTTCGTCCGGGTCGCGTCGTTTCGCGCGGTGGTACGCGGGCGTTTTTTCCGCGGCACGGCGGCAGCGTCCGACGGTTTCTCGATCGGTTGCAAACGAACGATCGCCGGTGTTCGGCGCGCGGCGGTCGACGCGGAGGAAACTGTCGGAAATCGACGCGCCGTAACGTACCGGTCTTCCTCTCGTCACCGGCCGTCCGATCGGTTCGCCGAAGTTCGCCGTGCTCGCCTCTCGTCGCCCGGTTCCTTGAACTCCCCGTATCGCCCTCGTCCTTGCGTTCGTGTCTGTTCGTTCCGCGTGGCCACACCGTCCTCTCCGTGTCTACTCCTCCCGCTACGAACTTCCCGGTCGCCGTCCGCGACGCGGTTCGCCGGGCTGTCGCGACGCAACGAACGCCCTACGATCCGGTCACATCCCGATATTTATACCGCGTCAACGTTCTCGTTTTTAATTTTATCCCGTTCAACAGTTCTCCGCGTTTGTGTTATTCTTTCTGTTCATATTTATAGTTTGAGCCACACACGCGTACGCTGCACACACGCACACACACGCGTTTCAACTCTTTTCTGATCACGACATTAGTGATCGGGTTATGTCTGGATTCTTTATAAAATAAACGTCGAACCGTCGATTTAGCAGGTCAATTACAAAATCGTTTTTTTTTTTTTTTTCAACGAAAAATCTGTTAAATTTTGTTGATTTCTGTGTTATTTTGGCAACAAGGGATACAAATACGACTCGTAATACTCTGGCCGGTCAAAATCGTTTCCCGTTAGAAACGGTTTATCGTTGGGTACGGAGAAAAATTAATTCACCATAAATATCAATCAGCTTCCTTCCTAAAACAGTAGCACGCCCGTTAGCAGCAACGGCTTGTTTTAAAAGAAATGTTTAAATGTCCGCATTCTCCTATAATAATAATAATAATAATATCCGAATGACGCGGCACAGTAGGTCCGAGATAGGTTCGGGATGAAAATAAGGAACTCCGCAGAGTTGTTAATTCCGGGTGTTTATAGTGGTTAGCGGATAAAATGTACGGTTGTCAGTTTGTCACGTACGTGAAAGTTTGACGTTTGTCAATATACGACAGTAATGCCTTCAGATATCGAACACACTTTGCGCTGTTGCCAAGACTTGATTATTGAGAAGTTTGGAACTGACATATTATACCGTCCTCGACGAAGCTCGTGGTTTTATAAGCACAGGGTTTAAATTTGTATTCGTTTATTTTTCACCACGTCCTTTGCGCCGTTTTTCAAGAGATTAAGGTTAGGGATATTATTTTTTTTTTTTAAACGTAACACGAACCGATGTACCGGGATCGCAGCAAGTATTATCCATACGGCTTTGTCGTCAAATACACCACAACTTTATTATTACAGAGATCATGGCTTATCTGTAGAAAAAAATACCAACGGTAAATTTTACGGTTCGCAAAATAATAACGAATCTAAATAAATAATTTTGTAGTAAATTTGATAATTTTCAGAGAGTAATAACAATGATATTAGTTATGAATAATCCGCAGAGAGATTTGAGTATAAAAGTAACATAAATAATGCGGTCAGTTAATGTCATAAAATTAAATACTGCGCGAATACCGTGTCTTTAAAACTGTTATAATTAAGATGCAACATTTAATTGAGATCAAAAAAAAAAAAAAAAAAAATAGTTGAATTCGTATAAAACGCTGAAGTACCTACGATTATAGTGATCGTTTCTGTGATCATTAAAACGAAAAAAGGTATAACGTGAAAACCGGGGGCGAGGTAACGAATTTCCTCTGCAGATTCACCGTTATTGAAAACGTTGCGGGTATTTTTTCCCAAACTCGTATAACGGAAAATAAGAAAATATAATCTACTCGAAGGATCTTTGACCAATGTCCAATTTATTCTCAATAGTTTTCTGAGAACACTACGGTATATAAAACTTACAAAAAAAAAAAAAAAAAAAAATAAATAAAAAACACTTAAAAAAACAATACGTTATTCGTTGCAATAGGAATTTATAAAAAGTAGAAAAATAAGATTGCGTATCTAATGATTTATTGTATTTTATAAATAATTCCAGTGTACGCGATTTTTTCTACATTCACACAGTATATCCATGATTCCGTACTATTTCGATACGACGCACTATCACCTAATATAATAGGTATCTATATCTTTCTGACTGTAACCATAAAACCTATTTATGTGATAATTTTCTGTTTAGATTCAGAGCGGAGCGAGGATCGTATTGGTTTTACAATGATGTACATTTCCAATTTTTTCTTATTGTTTTATTTTTGTTTTTTTTTTTTTTATCTGTGAGCACATTTTTTTGAAATTTCACACCGATTTTCAAAATGTAGCCGTTTTCCCGAAATGCATTTAGACTGGTGGGGGGGGGGGGGGTACTCCAAGGGGGTTTTTTTTTTTTTATTTCCCCATTGGTTCTCATAATAAATGGGTAAAACCGGGGAAAAAAACGTAGGAGAAACGGGGAGGTTTACAAAATCGATTATTTTCAAACCGTAAATATCACGGTCTTTTAAAACATTTGAATTCCGCTCAGAATCGTTCTCACCTACAACAGCGGCCCCACACATCGTGTGAAATAGGTCTGTGTTTTTTTTTTTTTGAAAGTTATAATATACGACGGTTCGATGAAATGGACTATTTAAAAAAAAAAAAAAAAACCCTACAGATTATATTGTTCAATAGCTTATTAAGCGTAAGACCGACTGATTTGTGTCACCTATTCTCGTATTATTAGTTCACCAAGTGTTCTCGGTGGTTGTTTCTATGCTCTTATGTTAATTCGGGGACGGTCAAAACGGAGGAGGGGGGAGAGTAATGTGTATAAATCCCACGACACACGACGTTTGGGAAGGTCGAACAAATTTCAAAAAAAAAAAAAATCAAAACCGAATAAGACGCCTTTACGTTCGTATTTTCTCGTTCGTAATGAATCCCGTGGTCAGATTTTAGATTTTCGCGTTTGCCTACCGATTTTACGGACGTCTTTTGGGACCGGTATAGAAATGTAAAACCCGAAAATCCGACCTCCGATTCGCTTTTTTTTTTGATGAGGGCATACGGAGACGAGTTATCCGCGCGGGTTTTCGATTATTTAAACGTTATATTTCGCCCCGAAAAATCCCGAGACCGACCCCTTTACAATCACACGCGACAGTATTTATTACCCATATTGTACTCGTGACGCAGAGAAACGTAGCAGGAAAACGCGGTCGTTAATTGACGGAACAATCGGGCCTCGTCTCCGTCGGTGAAAAAACAATCACGCCGTGGCCGTCGTCCCGGCGCTGCGCCGCGGAAAAATATTCACGGGCCGTTAAACCGGCGGTCCCCGAATGACAACCGCTCAGGTACGAATGACGGACCGAACTCCGGTGTGCCCAGCACGCCCGCGTCCGTTACACAATTTTGCAACGCGATCGTTCAGAAACTCTCGTTCCGCTATGCCGCCCTGTGTATCGCGTACCGGGGACAGGCGATGGGCAAATGGTAAACGCCGCATGAAAAACGAAAGGTTCTCGGAAATAATTGTTTTTTGCTATTTTCGAATTTGTTTTTCTGTTGTTATTCGGTTGAAAATATCGGTGAAAACGTGCAATTCGCATACAATAATTGTATCGGTGTTTTTTTTTTTTTTTTATAGACACGGAAAAACATTTTGACAATTTTTGATTTATTCGAAATTCTCGAATTTTTTTTTTTTAGATTTCCCTTTCGGTTTCAGGCATACGAAATCGTTTCGGCCGATCAGGAATGTTCGAAAATTCAACACAAGGTCCGTCGTGAGTTGCGGCGGCGATCGGACGGTCGAAACGAACATGACGAACGCAATGTATTAATTATGGTTTTGTTCAAAACGCGCGCTACTGAACTTTGCCAGGAATCTCGTTTCGTCAATAACCGTCACGTATACGTTTAATAATGACTCAAAGTCGTCTCGCCCATTACATCTCCTCGGGTTTCCGCCGAAAACTACCGACCCGCCGGGCGGCCGTATCGACGTTTTTTTTTTTTTTTCTCTCTCGTATTCATAACTTAAATTCGCCCCTGCGATCCGCGGTTCGACGCGGTTCCCGTGCGGCGGCCACATTACATCCGTTAAACCCAACGCGGGAATTTCGCAACGCGAACATAATAACGGTCTTTCGTTTGTGAATGTTAATCCGGTCAATTAATTATTTCCGCGGCTTAATCCGGCCGTGTACAGCCACCAATACCGTATTGCCCGTTACGGTTGTCCCGCGTGAAAGCCACGGGGCCCGGCGCCGCAATAATATAACGACACGCGCGCGACGTCGAGAGCGTATCTCGAAAAATTCAACTCGACGCGTAGAAAAAAAAAAAAAAAAAAAAAAAAAAAAATATAATCAAGTCAATGTTTACTTTATGCGTTTAAAGCGCCGGCCCGTCCGTACAACCGTAATAATAATAGTAATCGTATTAACAGTAACCGTTACGGGGCGCCGCGAAACGTTCGCCGCCGCCGCCGCCGCGTTCCTCGGAACAATTATATTACGTTTTCCGGCTACGAAAAAAAAAATAATAAAAAAAATATAATCAAGTCAATGTTTACTTTATGCGTTTAAAGCGCCGGCCCGTGCCCGGCCGCCGAAGCGCGTTTCGTCGAGCGGGCGCGGGAACGATAATATTGTAAATGCGGGAACAACGACGATAATAATAATCACGGCGATAACGATGCGCGCGGAAACGATTCGTGTTGTTCGTTTATTTTTTTTTTATTGTTTTTTTTTTCCCCGCGCGCGTCTCGTAAATACAAATGTTCGGTTTCGACGCGAACCAATAAGACCGTGACGCGGTTACACGGGTATCGAGCGTGACGGCGGCGGCGGACATTTCGACGGGACCGCGACGGACCGTACCGCAGGTGTCGGCGGGCGATAAATTGTGCGGCGGTCATTCCGAAATCGGTGTCGTAAAAGTCCGCGCGCAGTTCGGGCCGTTCCGCGGACGCTCCGGGAATCCCGGCGGACGCGGACGGCCGACGGCGCGTGGGAAAAACGCAAAGATCGCGCGCGCGCGCGCGCGCGACATTCGGCGCGGAAAACGACCGCGGACCGCGTCGCGGCGGGTCGAGCGGCGGGCCGTTCGACGCGTCGCCATTCCGGAAACTACTCGCCGGACGACGTCGAGTGTCCGATGTTTTTACGGCGCGATCGCAGGACCGACCGGACCGCGGCCGATAGCGTCGGTAGTAACGCCGAAAGTATTTACGAAACAAACGATCGGCGGAACAGTAGCCGTTCAATATGGCGAGCTGTACGACACTGTGGACGCGGCTGAAGCGGTAGAAAATAAACAGCGGATAGGCCATGTTTGTACTGAGGGGAGGAGAGGACAATAGGTAATAGTATCGAAGACCCGGGGGGGGGGTAACGAGATCTCGCAGTAAACCCGGGGACGTGCGGACAAACGTTCTCGCAAAACACCTACGGGGTCTACGCAGTGGGGGGGGGACGACTAGAAACACTCGGTACAAGACAGACGGCCGTGACGTCGTTTTGTGTGGCGCAAACTCCGTGAGATTTTTATTGCAAAGGCCGCGAGAAGAAGAAGAAGAAGAACAGTCGGCATTGTATGCGTTACGCAGTGAACGCCGAGAAAACCGATTCGAATTGAAAACATAATAACCGTTCCGCCGCGTAATTCTTCGTGTCGGCTCGAGAAAACGTAAGCAATAATATTGTTCGGATTTTACATACGTCCTAATGAATCGCTCCGTGCGACACCGGGTCGGCAGGTAATATTTTATAAAGCTTCGAGTATTACTTTCAAAATAAAAAAAAAAACCTATACATCTATTTCCGTTATTTTGCACAGTCGGTATATATATATATAAATGATATGGCTAAAAATAATATTATTTCGTGTTTTTTTTTGATTTTTTTTTTTTGTTCATTGTGTCCGTACGGAGTTAATTTGAAACAACGCTAAACCTGTAAGGGAAGTGCAATTAATAATAATTCGCGTCCGCGGCGGAACGTTCGGTGGACAGCAGTAACGATTGATATAAAAGGAATCGTTTCGTGTATCGATAGGGTTTATTAAAAAAAAAAAAAAAACAAAGTGTTGATTATCGTATTATTATTCGGGCGACAAAGTTTACCTCGGTGTAAAGCCGCAGCGCAAACTCTCGAATCGACCGCAGGTAATTAATTAATTGAAATAAAACAACAAATTCAATTCAATTCACTTTGATTCCGTCCGTTCTAATTGCGATTTTCGAACTCCGTTGATATTATTATTCGAGGAGACCGCAATTCCGCTGATTTTTTAAACGGCGCGGGAAATGTTAAACGTTAATCGTCAGCACCTTGTTTTCGTATTCCATCGGCGATAATGATTTGACTGCGAACCGCCGCGATATTAATTTGTTTCTTCGGTTTCAATTTTCGCCATTTTTCTAATAACGTTCTGTGATAGAAAAAAAAAAATTGTATCCGCTTCGGTTACAAACAAAACACTGACGTCTCTGCTCGAATATTAGTTTACGTTTCAAATAAAAAAAAAAAAAAATAAATAATACACACGTGTTCGGTAAGAAGTTTTTTTTTTAGTGAGGGGGAGGTAATTTTGTATCGTGTATTTGTTTGGGAAAGGTCGAATGTAACGAATGTTCTGCCGCGTAACATAATATTTCGAAATTGTTTCGTTTTCACTAACCACGGTAACAATTATTTTCGGCGCGATATCCGCAGGATTCGACGGTCGGAAATGCGTACGGGGCTCGCGAAGTCTCGCAGGTATACCTGCGCGCGTGTACCGATTGACACAGTTACGATATTTATAATAAAAGATCGGTAATATTTTTTTTGACGTTTTGAAAACGCGATAATAAACACGGGGAAAAAGTCCCGCCGCCGTCGCAAAGGTAGTTACAGTGAGAGCGAGAAAAAAAAAAAATGAAAATAGGTAGTCGACAAAAATAAACCATCGAATCTGTCCGGCTAGCTGTCAGCGGTGTGCGTTTGTTGCGTATAACGAGTGTGACAACAATAATTTCGACATGCCGCCGACCGAATACGCGCGTCAACGGCGATTGCATTTCTATCGTTCGATCTGCGTACAGCTGGGCGTAAAAAGGGCATGGTCACATTCTGTGCTTGTCGGGAGTTTTGAAATTCCAAATCCCCCGCAATGCTATGCGTATCTTACGCGAATGTTTACGTAATTTTCGGTTTTCACAAAAACTTAAAATAGTTTTTAATCAGAAAATCAAAAAAAAAAATTGTACGCGCTTTTTCTTTTTTTCCGAACGGTTTTTTTCAAAAAAAAATCGACGTTTTCGTGTCAAGCCGCGGATACGTATATTATTCGTTTTCCGCGTCACATATGCTTAGGCGAACGCAAGTGTTCCGTTCGCACAAATACCAACGACCGGTCTCGTCCGAAACTATGAAGGACAAACGATTGCTTGAAGTTTTGGTAATAAATGTTCAATCCTGAAATATTTACGATTAAGTGCGAAAAAATGCATTAAATTGTTTTAAATTAAATTTCCTATAGAATTATTAGGTATTTAGGGTTTTATCATTACACAACCAATCTGCCCAAAATAAAAAAAAAGGAAACAACTATTTTTAGCATATTTTATTCATTACGTGACCTATTCAAGCGTTCACCTAAAAAAATGAAAGAAAAAAAAAATCGTTTTTAGTATTATTATTTTGAGGACGAATTGGCCGATTAATGAAAAGAGTAAAGAAATCGCTATAGGAAATTAAATTTAAAAAATACTGTATTTTTCTAATTGTTCACTAATTATACATATTATATTAGGCCATGGTAAACACCCTCCACCCCATTTTCGAAACACTCTTTAGTGTTCAACAACGTTTAACACAAATTGTTATTATTATTGTGTAAAGGATTTGAACAAATTCTGGGGGTCGATTAAATATTGAATAAAAAAAATCTGCCCTAGGATAACGGGAACGGGTGCAGCCACTGTTTTATAGGTAATTTAATGTTTATCCGTAAGCAATGATTAATCATTTCTAACGATTCTGAGCGGAGTTTGGTCGATAGCGATACGGCCTTTTTAATAATATGTATATCGTATTATGGTAAAACAATGACATGCATGCATTTTTACATTTCCTTTAGAATTATTTGTTAAATACTGTACCAGTTTCCCTACGTTTTTCCCGTTTATCGGGAAAACTCTTGGACAAATCAAAAAACAAAGTACCTCCCCCGTCGGATTTCCTTTCAATAAAGGCGACATAATTGAAAATCGGAGCAAAATTGCCGATAGAAAAGCTATCGGCTGAAAAAAAAAAAATAAAAAGAAACGTCATTGTAAAACCAATACATTCCTCGCTCTGCTCAGAATTTAAAATGTCCCCCATCGATTAGATAAACACCACTGTAATGCTCATTCGTATCATACGCACCGTATTGATGTTATTGCGTTCGGTTTGAAATCAACAACCGCATGTTACGTCCGTGCAGTTCTGGCGTGGGCGATTGAATTTCATATCCACAGGGAGCAATTGAATACAACTTTTCAAGTATTAATAGCCGACAGGTAATAACACGCAAATACACTATTTGACGGAACCTCTGTGGGGAGCGGGAGGGCGTGATTGATCCATCAGTCGGGATCAACGATCCTCGAGAGGGGCCTCCGATATGTTTCGCTATCCAAAACATGTGTGTTACGGTGGAAATAAACGCAAGTAAACGTCGCAACGGCGTAGTGTAACACGTTTATGGTTTAAACGACGCGTGCATAATATGGTGAAAAAAAAAAAAAACGACTTTCGAGTAGTCCGGGCGCTTTGAGCTGCGGCCGTATTACACTGCAGCGGGACGGGAAACTCGAACGTTTTTATTTGAATGTTTACCCGGTGTTTATTAAAACGGCGCGAAACTTTAACAGCGCGTTTTAGACGTTTAGACGTTTATTAACGAAATCGGTGTGACGTGGGTTTCACCTGCAGCCAGTGTACGTTCGTGTATGTATACACACACATATATATATATAATATGTGTGTGTACGATATTATTTTACTCGATCCGCTACGCGCCGCCGCTATTTTCCTCCCCGCGCAACCGACGAAATTTAATCATTTTAACTAAACGGATTTTCCGCGTCACGCGACGAAGCGGTTATCTTACGATATTATAACCGTAATAATAATAATAATAATAACAATACCATTTACACTTTGACGACTTTTGCGCCCGATTTCGCCGGGGTCGGTGTCGTATTTAATTTTAAAAACAAATAAACTCGCGGGACTGAATAGCCGGGCTTGTCGTTCAACGCGTTGTAGCCGTGCAACACGGACGACCGGCGGTCTTTCGGAACGCGTATTTTTAATCGGGTAGATGGCGTTTCAACGGAAGCGAAATAATATACGCGTGCTTCCGCGTATATTGTGACGGCGTTGTGTTTTTGACGAATCGCCGTGCAGACACCGTCACGCATAATGTAACGCGCCCACTCGGATCATTTATACGGGCCATTAAATATTTATCGTTGTGTTGTATCGCGTGCGCGGAAAAAAAAAAAAAAAAAATGCGTGAAAATTAAAATAATACATTGTCTTCGAGCAGATTTGTTCGGCCGGTTGTCGAGCAGCGGTGTTCCTTCGTCCGAGATGTCGTACAGATTTGCGTACATTTGTCTTCGGGTAATGGTTACGGGCGGCACGATTGAAAACGGTCTAACGCCGGGTATAGTGCCCGTAGCGTGGGGTGCGGTGTACACGGGTGTCGTGAACACGGTCGATAAAACAACACACAAAACCTATTCGGAGCAACAAATCGAAACTAGATTCCTTAAAAAAAAAAAAAAAAAACCGTCTACGATTGCCGTCGCGGTAAAAATATTAACGTTCGAATGATTCGTTTAAATCGTTTTCGTTGCAAATAAGAGAACGAACAGAAAAAAATCCGCAACAGGTAAATACGAATAAGCGCAGGGAACGATAATTGGGGTTACGTGATCAGGAAACGCGACCGTAGGTGACGCTTTTATAATTTGAAATCGAAACGCCACGGCGCTGCTTTCTTCTCAGCCCGATGGTTCGAGTTCGGGAGTGTGTAATACAATTTTTTTTTTATTGATCGAATTTCGTTAGGGTTATTTTTTTTTTTTTTCTAGCCGATTTCCAAAGCCGCGACCCGCGTGTTCAAGTCGCTTAACAAAGAGCGTTTTTAAATCCGACGTACTGCGTTCGAGCCGGCGAATTTACTTTTAGACGGTAATGTCCTCAGTGTACGAAACCGAAAGTCGAGAACGGACCGTTTTAATTTCATGCGGTTGTTCCGCGTTGTCAACCTCTTGTCCGGATAAAGACGTGAATATTAAACAGAGGTACGAACAGTGGAGATCGGTGAATTATTTACTGTAATGTTCGGACGGAGACCGTGTCTTAATGTGAAGGCCGTCGCGCGGACGGATCCGTTATGATTAGGTTTAACTCGCCGTTTCGCCTGCCATCCATCCAGACAATGAATTTAGACGAGCTTGTAAATTAGCCGGGACAATTGCCGGGACGCTGTGGCATTGACAGGACGACTTTGTCGTCGCGGCCGTCCGATCTGACAAGGAGGACGCGTGCGCGTTGTATAGCACACAACGGGAACCTCGGACGGATCCGACGCGTCGGGGTCGCACTCCGGTACTAATTACTGCCGCGTCCGTAGTAGTCGGAGACGCCCGTAACGGGGCATTTGGAAGTAAACACGACAACACGTCGGGCGCCGGCGGTCTGTGCATTTGAGTAATTCGTTAACAATAACAGTACGGACGTCGAGAATTACCGGCCGTACTGCGCGCCGCGCGTTTGGAAAATCAAACGTTCCTTGCACAACGACGTTACCGACGTTAGACCGTTGGGCCCCCCCCCCTATAGTACTCGACCGAAACTCGAATTGTTATTATCGAATTTTCAACTGTTATTTTTCAATACAGTCCACTGATTACCGATCAAACACCCCGAGCGTTGTTACTACGACGTTTTCGACCTTATATATTATGTTTTTTTCGCGTCACGGCCGCAGCCAGAAACCTTCCGTTAACCTGTTGCATACGGAAATTCCGCGCGGACATAGTTACTGATACCATCAACAATTATCCCAGAATTTATAAACAACCGTAAGAAAACCGAGTATGTGAAAAACTATTTATAATTAGTATTTGATAATTTTTCTTGTGAAATAATAGATTTAATAAGTAATTTTGTAAATTTAAATATATATAATATATTTTTTATTTACAATATATTCATACATATATATATATATATGTGTATATTTATCGTTTTCCTTTTGTACGTTTTTTGACAAGTGCGATATTTTTAAAACTAAACTCAAAATCAAACTGAGAACCCGATTTTGGAATTTTTCAACCCTTTTTTGGCGGGTGAAATGGACGAGTAATCGTGACCAAATTTAACATATTAAATTACTTACTAATAGTAATTAACAAAATGGGGTAAGACATCGGAAATATTAATATTATTTTTGTTCCATGTAAATACAATTTAAATCGTATCGGTGAAAATCGGATATCGGATTTTTTTTTTTTTTTTTAAGACGTCGGATAATTATAACATCGGTTCACGGTTTTAAAAAAAAATATCGGATCGGCTATCGGTATTTGTTATTGTCACCCATACCGGTCGACGCGACGTTCCATTCGTCGATCACTGCATTCGTTAGCGTCTTTACGCTAAACACTGCTCCACACCTGAGTGTGTACTTACAACCGCGCATGCGCAACAACAACAACAATAATAATAATGATAATAAAAAAATATGATAAACACGGGACCTATACCGTCTGTACCTACTGCAGCACTAGATATTTTTTTTTTTTTTTTATTTCGCAATTCGATTAAGAATAACGGTTTTATCTGTATAATATAGATTGTACGTTGTGAAAATGAAAACAATTTAAATCATCGTAAACATCAAATAATATGTTTGTAGAAACCTAATGGACCATTAGTAACGACCAATAACACCGATAACGTCAACGTTTTTTGACTTCAAAATATAAACATCCGCACGAAACCGTCTATATCGGATAGTTAAAATTTGTATTAAAAAAAAAAAAAAATAAATAAATTTGAAAATATCGAAGAACCGGCCGAAAGTCGGATATTCGCGTGACGCCCTTCCCACCATCGTATCCTACAATATCACGTATACAGTTGTGCGTATTCAAATAACAATAACACGGTGAACGACGGGACCGCGGGGTCGCGTAAGAGTAAAATGGAAAGAAAAAAAAAACAAAATAAAAAACCCGCGAAATCGCGCACTCCGACGTCCTTTTGCCGCGTGCCTACCGACCGATTATTTAATTATTGAAATTCCCGGCGGTGCCACACCGTTTAGAATATTTCTCCGCGTTTAATAACCGGCCGCGGATATTACGCGCGGAATCGATCCCCGAATCACGGTAGCGGTCACGTCCGCGCGGTCATTTATTATTTCCATTGTTACCCTCTCCTCCCCCCCCTCCCAATCGCCGGTATGGCTATTATTCGTTTAGACAAACGATTTCGTACGGATACCCACAGTCCTCCGGTGTTCCGGTGTTCCGAAAGTCCGTAGGCCCGTTTCATTGAAGACTTTGCGGAAGGGTTTTTTTTTTTTATTTTTTTTCGCGTTCTCGACATTCGTACTGTCGCCGCATTATAATAATGGTAATAGTATTGCCCGTCGGAAATTAACGCGCGCCGCAAACAGGCACGTCTCACCGCAGCCGCCCCTTCAAAAGAAAGACGAATAAAAAAAAAAAAAAAACGACGTGTGTTCGGGAACATAACGCATTATTAACGTGTACCGGCGATTTGAACGATTATAATATATTATTACGGCGAGGGAGTGGGGAGGGACGAAAAAACTTAAAACGTTTTTTTTTTTTTTTTTAACTTTTCCAATTTTACATCCGAGAGCCAAAAACTTCGCGATACCCAAACGTAGCAGAGTGTCATAATGTTCAAGAATAAAAAAAAAAAAAAAAAAAAAAAAAATCCATTTAAAAAGTTTCTCAGCGTAGTCGGTATAATATTATAATTTTTTATAATACGGACTATCGTGCGAATTTGTTTTAATCCGCCGGAGAGAATAATAGTGGCCGTCGTTACATTGATTTACGACAACTATGCGAATCATATTATCGTTATTTTTCACACGGTCAATCGTTTAGTCGACCATTTCCGTGTGCGAAGTAAAACGCATAATAACAAATGCTTGAATGTGTCGTTGGCTCGTTACCGTTTCAGTATGGAGGTCGGGACCGAGGACATGGCTAAGGGAAAACGATTCCGGGTTGAGCATTTTTAACTGTTATTAGTGAATGCAGCAATAGAGAAAATACGAATCGGACAAAATTATACATAAAAATAAATGCATCACCGCCTGGAGTATTATGATTAGTGCATTAAACGGCCGGTTCCGAATTAAAAAGAAACGTAAGATAATGGGGACGAGTGCAGCCACTGATGTAGGCGAGTAGGTAGGATATTGACGGGAATTAAATTTGATTAATGTTGTACCGATTTTCCCAGTTTTTCTACGTTTTCCCCGGTTTTCCAATGTTTTATCCCTGTTTTTGACATTTTCTGGGAAAATCAAAAAATGACTTCCCTTTAGTACCACCCCATACCGATTTCCACTCAGAAAAATTGCTACACGTCGAAATCCGAAATCTATTAATTAATTAATTTTTTATTTATGTATTTTGTAACTGTATTTATTTACGAGTATTAACCATTTAAATATTTTTTTTTTTTAAAATTATTATTTAAATATGTATTTGTTGTTAGTGGTCAGATTTTCATTTTTTTTTTTTTCCGATAATCGATACTGAACAGAGCCGTGTTAAGCCATTTGAGGCAAGGGTTTCAGTTTTCAAAAATGACCCTTGCGTCTTCTCTGCGGATGATTCAGAAGGTAATGCCACCCAAATTTGTTGTTTTTCTTTTTACCTGTGTGCAAATTTTCTACCAGAAGACTTTCTCCGATTTTGACGTGTAGCAGCTTTTCTGATATTCAATATCTGTGTAGGGAGGTGCTTTAAAGAGGTAATTTTTCAATTTGTTTAAGAGTTTTCTCATAAAATTTGAAATACTGATAAAAAAAACAGGACAATATAAGAAACGTAAGTGTTAGTTTAAATATTTATAACTGCCTTCTTTTATTTTCCTTTGCACTGTTCTCCCAGTAATTTTGCTCCAGCTTTCAATGATAGTAATGCTTTTAAAAGGAAATTGATAAAATATATAAAGGCTATTTAATTATTTTACTAAAAAATTACATATGTTTTGTTGACAAAAGATCTCTATCAACTGAACTCCGCTCAGAATCGTTTTATTAATGGTTTATTGTAACTTACGGGTATACATTAAATTATCTACAGCAGTGGCTGCACTCGTTTCCATTATTCAAGGACGTATTTTTATACATGTACTATTATTATTATATGCTCTTATGCATTATTAATTATATTTATTGTTTTAAATTCATAATAAATTGCCAAAGTTTTATATCCGCTGAAAAAATTCGTCTCTTTACTCTTGAATTTTTTCCCGCGTAGACGTCATATTATCACATTACTATTGGTTTTACTTGCTTAATAACCGAACGATATACACTATTTCTCTAACCAGAGGGTTTGAAAACAAAATAAATAAGTGATGTTGTTAATTTCATTTCGAGTTCAATATTGAACCGTGTACACTGTAGTTTTAAAAAGGTTTGGCACCCCGGGGCATGTGCCGACCTTGTTCTCTCCTTTAACACTGCCCCCAATTACCGATATAAAACTTATAGCTGATACGACGTTTGAAATCGAAACCCACCAGTAGACGATATGTATATTGGAACCTCGAGTTTTTTTTTATCGTTCTTTTTTTTTTTTTTGATATTCTAAAGACATTATGATAGATGTTTTTTTTCTAAAATACCGGATCAAATATCGATTTCGAAAAAAACAAACCGATATCCGGATATTCCGACGTCGTCGATATCGGCTTATGCCGATACTCATCACTAACAGTATTTACTTCGTTATATCGAGATCTTATAATATATAGTTTTTGAATGGTGTAAGATTTCCGGTAGAAAGGTAGTTTATAGGAACAAAGAAAACAAAAAATCGCATTATAGCTAAATCTGAAATACAATCCTCGCTCCGTTCAGAAACAGTGGTTTCCAACCTTTTTACCAACACTTTAACTCCTACCAAAATTTTCACGGCACTCCAATCAGGGTTACACAATTATACTTATACACATAAGAGGGAGGGGCTAACTCATCAGCCAATAAGCAAAAAAAAAACAAAAAGTCGCCTAAATTTCATAGGCCGGTCGCGCTACGGCACTGATAAAAAGGCTGATAGGAGAAAAGAGCCGATATCTAAAGCTGCACGCTCTTCAAAGACGTTCACGGCACACCGGTTGAAAACCACTGGTCTAAAATGTATTAAAATTGATCGCAGGAAGTTATTAAAATAATAATATCGACGAATCGGTTTTAGCGAATGTCCGAGACTTAATTTTAATATTATATTATACGCATTATATCGTTTTAAATTAAACGACGCATAAACAAAACGGATGCCCACTTTTTAATATGCCGTTTAATTCAAAATAATATATTCTGTACGCCATGACAATGGAATCTTACGGTTTATTATGAATTTTTATGCTTTTCAGAGCTTATACGCACGTTTTTAACACTGGTCATTAATGAACTAAACTGCGCAGTATACGATGGGTGGGTCATATTATCATGGTTAAGTAGGTGTTACGTTTACTCTCGCGCAACTCGAAGTACACGGAATACTTTTCAAAACGTGCGTTATTATAAAGTGCTTTTAATAATTTTTACTCGATAGTGACCTATATACATCAGAATTAATTCTTATACTTTTCCAAATATTTTTTTCGATTTTAGATTCTGAGTGTTAGCAAAGAATGTATTGGTTTTGCTAAGATGTTGTTTTTTTTATATTGTGTACACAAATTTGACCATAAATATTGCTCAGATATATACGCGTGGTACCATTTATGAAATGGAATGTTGTCCAGATGGCACTTTTAACAGGTCATTTTTTAATTTTCCAAGCGGTTTTTATAATATCTGGAAATAACCAGAATAAAACGTAAGAAAAACGGGAAATGTACGAAATTAATGCATTTATAATTTTATCAGTTTTGTTGTTTGTTGTAATTCGGTTAAAAATATTTGTAGAGAAATTTGAAATTTGAACAATAACTTATATTTGCATTTTATAGACGGGTTGAAATTTTCAAAAAATTTAAGCCATTTTTGAGCTATTAATAGACATTTTAATTTTGAAAGTTTAGTAGGTAAATTGTTTGCACTTTTCTTCCCTTTTACCTAAAAACTGGAAAATATAAATGCATTTTAAGTGTATCTAGAGACTTAGCTATAGCTCACTCGGAAGATTTTAATCGAAAAATACCCCTCTATTTGTTGTGCAAACTTTTCTACCAGAAATCTTGCTCCTATGTATCAAGTGTAGTTTATTTTCTGAAAGGAAAGTTTTATTTTCATGGTTTAATGATGTCATTTTTCAATCGGTTTTCATAACAACTTGTAGGAACCGGAAAAAAACGGAAAATATACGAAATGTAGGTATTAGTAAAAAAATATTATGGACTTTTTTTTTTGTTTACAACTTTTTTACCAGCAATTTTGCTTCGATTTATAATGATAGCACTTTTTATGAAAGTAAATCTGACTGGGAAGGTATTTTAAAGAAGTCATTTTTCGATTTTTCCAAGAGTTTTCTTAGCAAATCCGGGAAAGAACATGGGAAGACCGGAAAAAACGAAACAATATTAAACAAATATTGTTAAAGAAAATATATAATGCTAATCTTATTATTTTTCCATAATATGATTTATTTATATATATATATGTATTGTTGACAAAACGTCACTATCATTACGCTCAGAATCCTTTTTTCGTTAGCAATGAATTTTCGTTGCCATTAAATTACCTATAACAGTAGCTGCACCCGTTTCTATTATCCTAGAATTTCCTAGAATTGTTTATTTTATTTTGTTTAAATGTGTTATTACTTTCCCCCCCCCCACCCGAATGTTATAAGATTTTACTAACGATCTCATGTTATATACATAATACGTTGAATTTACGTATGTGTATCTTTATAACTAGAACTGGAATGTTTATGAACTAAAAAATTATTAAAATAATGAAATATGCTTGCAAAACGAGAAAAACGGCACTGAAAAATAATGATAAAAACGACGTTAATAATAATATAGATAAACATAAAAATACGAACAATTTGACTCGAATTCGGATTACTCTCGGATTACATTTCGATTGTGGAAGCTGCGTTTTATAGCAGAGTTACCCGGAATCGCACAATCGAGAATAAACAACCCCGCGAGGTCTTTTACGCCTACACCCGTATATTAGGAATTCGATCCCGAATCCGTATCCTCGATTATTTTGTCGTCGTCTGTACGAATTATCAAACGCACCACTTGCATGTGTACGCGTTCCTCTGAATTTTATATGTACAATATATTGTAAAATTGTGGTTACTATAGTTTTCGAATAGAGAGGTTAAAATAATATATCCATAATACAAAAAAAAAAAAAAAATCGAGCGCTGGCGTAAATCGCAATTTGAAAATGTTGTATTTTTTATTATTATTATTATTTTTTTTATTGATCTCTGTAAAACATACAAAACTCGGCATCTATGGCCATTATAGTCATAGGTAAGATATTTATACTAATTACAATTAATACATTCATATACACACAATACGATACATTATGAGTAAATCGGTAAGATGAAATTTTTTAAATTTGTTTACATCGAATTTTACAAGTTTGTTGATTTTAGAAAGTGTAACGTATTTGTGTTGTCCTCGGTCTCCGGTCCCGATCCCACGTCGGTATAGTCTCATCAATTTCGATACTCTATCGGTCTCGCTCGTATTTTATAGGCGTTCGGTTACCGTGAGTCATAAACACCGCAGCATTTTTCCCTTTCCTCCGGGTATCCACGTGAGTAAGTATCGTATATATGGTTTAACCGCAAGCAGTTTGATAATGCAGATTCTTCGTTTTCTTATCAGAAAGCTAGTTAGTCCACTGCAGGTTTATCGTTCTTTTCAAAGTGTTTAATTCGGTAGTTTGTCGGTTCCGTATATTACCGTACTGAGCCGTTCGTTGTCGGTTATATATAACGGTTTGTTGTAATTTTCAGGCTCAGGGGTGGGCGCAAAGTTGGTTTGTCTACAAACTGAAATGTTGTCGTTACAGTTCCGTACAAACGGTACAACATTGGCCGAACCGAATTTTCACTCGGCGCGACGGAGCCGCGAAACCCCGCGATTTTTGCGTTAAGATTTCAATTTCGAAAGCGATTTTTTTTTCCGGTAGTATAACAGGAATATTTTGACCGTTTGATTTTTCCGCCAACCGCCCGCCGATCCGAAGCGCCCCCGTAGATGATAAAACATTATATTCAGTCCCCCCTTACACCCCCACCCCTCAGGAACAAAACCTATAGGCGGGTCGAACGAAAAAAAAAAAAAACAAAGACTTATATAAACAAAACCTATCCGAAGGCGCCTGGTATCGCGTGTTTGTCGTTTCGTATATATATACACGGTCGGTATATGAAATCACTATATTTGCTCATTACACATACCTGCCTGCCCCCTCCCCTCCCCTCCCCGCCCCCGTTAGCCCGCCGGCCGTCAAACTCGAGCCCGGCGGTCCGTGAAGTGAGTAGTTTCATCCGCGAGCAAACGGCGGCCCGGCTACGCATATAAGGAAACGGCTTTCGAGCGAGTGTTGAGCGGAGAGTACGTACCGTATATACGACACGATAATACAATACATTCACATATATATATACACGTGGGTAGTTTAACTTAAAGGGATGTATATGTTTACTCTCGGGTGTTCTACAACGGTTATAACGGGGGGAGGGTGGTGGTGGGGTGACAGGGAGGGGAGGGGCGGTTCCGTTTTGGTAGTCGCGAAGACCGAGAGGAGTGCTGCGAGAGACCGAATACAGACTTTTATACTACGCGCGTTACACTATTGTCGCGTCGAGTAAATAATATTTACTATACGACTCGAGCCTTTTTTTTTTTTTTTTTTTTTCTACGTATGATAATCGTGTTTGGAACTCCATGCTGTAGACAAGCAGTA